AAATAGATAAATGATCCATGTTATGACCATCTTAAAACAATTCCATATGTTAGTGGAATGCCCTTGTTGGTTGCCCCTCAACAGCCAGAGGGCACTGGACTTGAAACAACGATACAGATGTAACCATGTGCCATTCAATGTATTATCTGACCGCCACTAGTGCTCCCAAGTCAAAATTCTGTGTTTATTCATTTATTGAGTGTTCCATTTAAAAAAAACAGGATTAGGAAAAGTTTCTAAGCATACCTGAGAGTTCCTCAACTCACACCAGTGTGTGGCGGCACATCGATTGGGAACCACTGTCACGCTCTGGCTCCGGGACTTTGTATGTTGAGCCAGGGTGTGTTCGTTTTGTTGTGTTTGGTTTGGTTTTGGTTGTGTTTCCTTGTTTGGTCGTGTGACTCCCAATCAGTGGTAACGAGTGTCAGCTGTCGGCTCGTTATCTCTAATTGGGAGCCATATTTAAACTGTCAGTGTTCACCTTAGTGTTGTGGGTTTTTGTTCCGTATTCAGTCTTTGTCACTGTGGACTTCACGTATCGTCATTGTTTGTTGTTTTGGCATTGAGTACTTTAACCAATTAAAGCCATGTTCACTCAACGCGCTGCGCTTTGGTCTCATTCGTCAGACGATCGTGACAGAAAAACCCACCGTACCAGGACCAAGCAGCGTGTCCAGGAACACACGCAGGAGGTAACGCTGGTGGATGTCCTCCTCGGCTGGGGGCATATTACGAAGGAGGAGGCCGTCCGGTACCGGAGGGCGATGAAGGGGGAGACCCAGGATGGAGAGGAGCAACGGCGTCAGCAGGGTCATCGTCGGAAGGACGAGAGGCAACCCCAAAAAGTTTTTGGGGGGGGGCACATGGCTTGGGCGGCTGGGCAGCAGGAGGCTGCCACAGGGAGACGTGGAGAGAAGGCTACCGGATTACGGGAGCCATTGGCGAGTAGAGGGAGGGAAGTAGTTGAGGCACGGCGTGAGAGACTGAGGTGTGTTACCAGTCCGGTCCGGCCCGTTCCTGATCCCCGGTTAAGGCCAGTGGTGTGTGTTCCCAGTATGGACCGGCCTGTTCCTACTCCACGCACCAAGTCCACGGTGTGCGTCGCCAGCCCAGCCCGGCCTGTTCCTGCTCCACGCACAAAGCCTACGGTGTGCGTCGACAGCCCTGCCCGGCCTGTTCCTGCTCCACGTACCAGACCTACGGTGTGCGTCGCCAGCCCAGCCCGGCCTGTTCCTGCTCAACGCACAGAGCCTACGGTGTGCGTCGCCAGCCCAGCCCGGCCTGTTCCTGCTCCACGCACAAAACCTACGGTGTGCGTCGCCAGCCCAGCCCGGCCTGTTCCTGCTCCACGCACAAAACCTACGGTGTGCGTCGCCAGCCCAGCCCGGCCTGTTCCTGCTCAACGCACAAAGCCTACTGTGTGCGTCGCCAGCCCAGCCCGGCCTGTTCCTGCTCAACGCACAAAGCCTACGGTGTGCGTCGCCAGCCCAGCCCGGCCTGTTCCTGCTCCACGCACAAAACCTACGGTGTGCGTCGCCAGCCCAGCCCGGCCTGTTCCTGCTACTCGCACCAAGCCAAGGGTGCGAGTCGTCAGCCTGGTCCAGCCCGTTCCTGCTACTCGCACCAAGCCAAGGGTGCGAGTCGTCAGCCTGGTCCAGCCCGTTCCTGCTACTCGCACCAAGCCAAGGGTGCGAGTCGTCAGCCTGGTCCAGCCCGTTCCTGCTACTCGCACCAAGCCAGGGGTACGAGTCGTCGGCCTGGTCCAGCCCGTTCCTGCTACTCGCACCAAGCCAAGGGTGCAAGTCGTCAGCCTGGTTCAGCTCGTCCCTGCTACTCGCACCAAGCCAAGGGTGCGAGCCGTCAGCCTGATCCAGCCCATTCCTACTACTCGCACCAAGCCAGGGATGCGAGTCGTCAGCCTGGTGAGGCCCGTTCCGGCTCCACGCATCAAGCCTAGGGTGCGTATCGTCAGCCAGGTCCGGTCCGTTCCTGCCTCACGCGCCAAGCCAGGGGTGCGCGTCGTCAGTCCAGATCCTACCAGCTGGGTCAGATCGGACCGGGGGCGCTACGGGGGGATTGAAGAAGGGTGGTGGTCAAGCCCGGAGCCGGAGCCGCCTCCGAGGAGTAATGCCCACCCAGCCCTCCCCTGTTTGGGGTTTTTGAGGCGCGGTCGCAGTCCGCGCCTTTAGGGGGGGGTACTGTCACGCTCTGGCTCCGGGACTTTGTATGTTGAGCCAGGGTGTGTTCGTTTTGTTGTGTTTGGTTTGGTTTTGGTTGTGTTTCCTTGTTTGGTCGTGTGACTCCCAATCAGTGGTAACGAGTGTCAGCTGTCGGCTCGTTATCTCTGATTGGGAGCCATATTTAAACTGTCAGTGTTCACCTTAGTGTTGTGGGTTTTTGTTCCGTATTCAGTCTTTGTCACTGTGGACTTCACGTATCGTCATTGTTTGTTGTTTTGGCATTGAGTACTTTAACCAATTAAAGCCATGTTCACTCAACGCGCTGCGCTTTGGTCTCATTCGTCAGACGATCGTGACAACCACTGATCTAAGTTACCAAATAATCAACAACTTAGAAAAGAAACCTACATTTGAACGAAATTAATGACTTTTATGACATAAGATAGTTCCAAACTGTTGAAAATAGTGGAAAAATCTATCGTGTGCGTGGTAGCCCAATTATAGAAATACAACGCGACACACCGAAGTTCACACGACCATATGACATACATAGGAAAATCAAAGCACTAAAATACTTAGGGTTTTGTTAATATATATATTTATATACAGTATATGGGTGTGTGCTTGTGTGGGTGTGTGCGTGCATGCGTTGCTTTCGTACATGCAGTGTTTCTCCTCTTTCAAGGAAGTGTATTTGTGTTCCTGGCAGTTGCTGGACAGTTTCAGTGCCACAGGTGCGGTATCAAGGGGATAGAGAGAGAGGAAGCTGCTTTTGCATGACACTATTATTAGACAAGTTAGAGAACCAAGAAACCACCTCAGATCAACTGATAACAGAATGTTGAAGTCTTAGTTGAGTATTACAGATATAGCCCAATGTTGTTTAATCTGTCCTGGGAGGGACTACAGCTGTACATTGGCTCCATAGATAACTCTGCCAAGCAGAAACACTCCAATCAGTAATGTCTTTGGATATAGGATGTGTCCTTGTATTAGAATCCAGTGGATGTCTCAATAAAAAGACAACAACTAAAAGTTAGACTTTATTAAAGTGAAAAAGGACACACAAACATCACAGGATACACAGGATACAATATAAATCAATGAATGAAAAATAACATATCACCACAATGCTTGTATAATATTGACAACAACAATACTAATCAATCATAATCAATACTGTATTGGATATATACATAACATTATTACTGAAGAACACTATGCCATAACCATCCCAGACCATTTCCTTTCTAATCTAGACATATCTATCTCTGCAGTCCATCATGTGTTCTTCACTGCTTCATCTGAAAAGAGGCAGAGACAGATACAGGTTATTACAATAAACAGACAGCGAAGTGGAAAAACGCAGGTTTCCTTTGGCCCACAAAGAGTTTCTCACCTCTCCTCCGTGTATATAATCATATTTGGAAGGGAAAGGAGCAACTCTCGCTCACAATCAAATCAAATCAAATGATATTGGTCACATACACATATTTAGCTAATGTTATTGCTTGTGTAGCGAAATGCTTTTGTTCAATTAAACACTTGATACATTATTTTTTCATTTAAAATCATGACGTTTCAGCTGCCAATGGCCTTCATCAGAAGTCTACAATCACATGAAATAAGCTACAGGGATGTAGCTCAGTTGGTAGAGCATGGCGTTTGCAACGCCAGGGTTGTGGGTTCAATTTCCACGGGGGGCCAGTATGAAAAAATAAAATTATAATGTATGCACTCACTAACTGTAAGTCGCTCTGGATAAGAGCGTCTGCTAAATGACAAAAAATAAAACAATAAAAATAAAAAGAAGCGGTGTCAGTACCTTGACCAGGCTGAGCACTGTGCTGTAGGTGAGGGAGAGAAGGAAGAGGATGATGAAGGAGGAGGTGGTGGACCACAGGCTGCTGAACTCATCCTCATCGTTGTCCGTGCAGCTCAGAGCGAAGCCCGCCTCAGGCTCAGTCAGTAGGATGTTCTCTGAGAACAGGGAGAGAGACAGGTGGTGAGGAACGGACATACACTGTGTCTGCGTGTTTGCGCAAGTGTGTTCATGTGTGTCTGCATGTTTGCGTGTGTCTGCGTGTTCATGTGTGTCTGCATATGTGCGTGTCTGTGTTCATATGTGTATTGTAAACCTATATTAGTCTTTATCATATTCTAACAAATACAGCTACATGAGTTCAAATGATATGGACACACACAGACACACACATCAACACACAAAGACCACATTAAACTGAGCTGTGCAGACTTATATCTTGTCCTACTATTAACATGCACACCCACTCACATTTATGTCAAACTATACCTATACACTAAATAATACATCCATGACCAACTTACTGGAAGCATAGTACTACTATGTAGGCTATTCAGTACTGTTGTGTCTTTTCATGCCAAAACAATTGTCTTCATTCTGTTTTTATATTTACAATAGACCAGTATATTTTCTAATACTTGAAGTAATTGATATAGGAACACGAAACCATGTGATCTCATATGCGGTATTGTTTATTAGCCAGCCTCCACATTAGGAAGACACATTGAACAGTGACAAAGGACAACAATGGTAACACAAGACTGTGCAATAGGACTGACATCTTACAACACAATAGACTGGACAATATCACATTAGACAATATACATGTCTACAGTCAACAAAACTATGACAACACTAACATGTTAACTTTAACTCAACAAGGACAACAATGAATGACATCAAAAAGGACAACAGGGGACACACCTAGTAAATGGCTATTCTGACCCACATAGGAGTCAATAAGGCAACACAACAGAATAAACACACACAGATTAAAATCACTTGTCTTCACATGAGTTACCCATGGAGTTCGACACACTCCTCTCCTTAGGTGCGGTGTTGTTGTCCGAGCCGGCGTACTTGACGGCGCATGTGAAAAGCACGTTTGTCTCCCACTTATCCTTGGTGGTGGTGAAGACGCTGGTGACAGAGTAGTTGCCTTTCGGGGTTTTCTGAGGAGGGCTGGTGACCCCCTCCTGGTACTCGCCGCTGCCCACCTTCCACATGATGTAGACGTCACAGAGAGACGGGCTGACCACCAGGCACACCAGAGTCACGTTCTCCTCCTTCTCGGTGTCTTCCTTCGGGAGAAGGTGGACGGACACTGAAGGGGCTCGACCTGCAAGAGGATTGATTTTAAGGAGAAACGTTACACTCATGTATGTGTAGGCACCTATGAAAACCAGTATTTGAATATCAGTTTAAAATCCAACATAGTGGTCCTTAACCCTGGTTCTGGAGCACCACAGGGGTGTGCAGGTTTCTGTTCTAGCCCAGCACTAACATACCTGATTCAAGTAAGCAAATAAGCGTTAATGATTAGTTAATGATTAGTTGATTTTCTGACTCAGGTGTGTTAGCGCTAGGCTGGAGCAAAAGTCTGCACATCCTGTGGCTTCCTCTCCAGAACCTGGAGTATGTGACCACTTATCACAACCACATTGAGAAGTCTCAGTGACCTACTTTCTTTGGTGAAGCTGAGGTCCTGAATGACCGGTGTGACTTCACCACTCTTCGTGACAGAACACTGGACTTTGTTCACATTTGTCCACTCTGGCTGGTCTATGGTCAGAGTGCTGACCTTGCTGTTCAGGTTGCCCTTTGATTCAATAGGTTTCAGAATGATGCCTTTCATCTTGGCCTGTCCATTGACCTGCCAGATGATAGTGGTACCAGACACTGTGTCCTGGTCTGTACGAGTGATGACACAGTCCAGCACTGCTTGGTTGTCCGAGAACACCTTTTTCACACTCGGTGGGTTCAGAGTCACCGTCAGTGGTTCTGAAAGGGGAAGGAAGCAGTGGGAAAGCATGACATGTTAATGTTACTGATGAGGAACTTCACTAAATAATAGAGATCCTGTATGTGTGCATGACATCAATTGTAGTACAGTCTACTCCTATGTACAGACCTGTTTTGGAGATCGTCTTGGTGATGGTTTGTTTCTGGTGCTGCACCATACAGCTGTACTGGACCTTGTTGTTCCAGTCAGTGTTGATGACCTTCAGCAGACTGCTGGCTGAGAAGAGGCCTGACTGCTGTTGTCCTACAGTAGTGGTCAGGCCCTCCACCTCCGTGTCATTCTTCTTCCAGGTGACAGTGACTTCCTTGGTGGCGAAATTTTCAATCATACACATCAGGTACTGGGTGGTTCCAATGGGCGCCGACAGCAAAGACACTGAGACTGAGAGAAAAGACATGGGCACATGTTAGTTTAACCCCTTATTGAAATAATACTGATATTTTCAAAGACATCCAGGATAAACACCAAGCATCATTCTAAAGGTATAATCAGGTTTTCTAAACATAAATAGTTTACATCACAAACATTAAAATGCAATCTTTAGAAAAATAGAGCCAACTTCAATATAATATAATGACCACATCTTACCTGGTTTATTGATGTCTGCTGTCTTTTTACCTCCAGGATGTTCCACGGAACATTTGAAAGTCGTTGAGGTTTTCCAGACATTCTCATCCACGCGGAGCTGACTGACTCCTGTGTAGGTTTCCCCGCTCTGGACCGCCGGGTACTGGATGAAGTCCGTCAGCGCACTCCCGCTGGCGTCTGTCCATTTGAAGGTGAGTGAGGAAGGCGAAAACCCGGTAGCGACACAACCGATGCTGTAGACGTTGTTAGTAGGGGTTCCACAGTTCATAAGAGTGAGCAGAGTAGTGGGGGCTGTGGTTGCTGCAAGAAAGAAAGCAAGAAAGAAAGAAAGAAAGCAAGAAAGAAAGCAAGAAAGAAAGAAAGAAAGAAAGAAAGAAAGAAAGAAAGAAAGAAAGAAAGAAAGAAAGAAAGAAAGAAAGAAAGAAAGAAAGAAAGAAAGAAAGAAAGAAAGAAAGAAAGAAAGAAAGAAAGGTAAAACTTAATTTGAATGTACAGAAATGACCTGGTAACTACTAGGAATTACCATGGTAAAATGGTCATTACACAGTTATAACCTAAGAACTAATTGTTCATTTAATCTTGCACTATATTTACATTTTAGTCATTTAGCAGATGCTCTTATCCAGAGCGACTTACATGAGCAATTAGGTTTAAGTGCCTTGCTCAAGGGCACATCGACAGATTTTTCACCTAGTCAGCTCAGGGATTAGAACCAGCGACCTTTCGGTTACTGGCACAACGCTCTTAACCACTAAGCTACCTGCCGCCCCTATAAGGCACCATTTAGTTCCATGTAGTTGGTTGTCTTGTATTCTTTGAGGTATAACTATCTCTAAGTTTAATATTTTATTAGTCGTATGTACAGGATACACATGGTATGCACCGTCTAACGTAATGCTTACTTGCAGGTTCCTTCTCAACAATGCAACAACAATAAGAATTAATAAAAGTGAATAATTCGAACATTAAGTAACTGGCTTAGTAGAGTAGAAAAAACATTTTAGAAAAGGTATCATTCAGGAAGGCACAATTAAGTACATATTAACACATTCAATTGCAGACACATTTACCAGTGAAAACAACCATAAAATATAACATGCTGTTCCTCTAATACCAATTAATTGAAATCATTTTAATTAAATGATTTATATGGATTAAGGTGATGCCAATTAACACTCAATTCAATATGGGCTAAGATGAACTCTGCTCATTTTATCATACCCTTTAATTGGTTTATGTGTTTGACTCCTATATTTTCATTTTCATAGGGTCAATTTCGACTTAAAGCAAAGCCTACATAATTAACCAATTAAACACCAATCACAAACAGTGAAAGAAGTATGTGAGGAGATGACCAAGCAATACTGCCCTACCTAGGTGTGCTACACTAACAACAGTATCCAAGTTATAATTTCAACGTTCCTCCATAAAACAATGATTTATCTACAAACCTTATAAATTTAACTGCATACATTATTTTTTTTTAAACGATGTCTTACCTGATGATACTGTGACCATTGTCCCTTTCCCCCAATAGTCAAAGTAGCTAAACACAGTGTGACAAGGGCATATGCCAGGCAGTACAAAAACTACCCTCTTTACAGCAATTGGTTTCAACTAATCTTGATAACTTCATCACTAAACCAAAGTAATTAGGTTTGTAAAATAAAATCTAAATAGATACTACATTCTAACATAGTCACACTTGGTCAACAATATATTTCCACAATATGGATCATTTTCTCTTAGACTGTCATTTTTTTCTGAGGAACGAAGGGTTTTCTATTTAGAAGACTTTAGGAAACAAACTTCTGCATTATTCTACAACAGCAGAACCTAGAAATTGAGGAACTATTTGACTTTCAAGGAAATAAGCAAATTGAGGTAAATAATTTCTTTAGTGGACTATGAACAGGTCTATTCAATGACGTTTTGCATCTGAAAAACGCACAAGACAACATATGTTATTTCTACACAGAAAATAGAATGGGAAAATTAAACATTTGATGGATGTAATAAATGTAAGTTGCGGTGACTTGTGTCCCTTTACCCCAGTAGTCAAAAGCATCACAGTGCTATGTCTCCATTCACTGCCTGTACAAAAACCCTGCACCTCAATAGGCAGCTTTAAAGTCATGATAAAGAATCCAATAGACATTAACATATAACGCAATATCGTAATATTATCATACACCTGATTTTTTAAGGACATACGTTGTGAATTCAGTTTTGTATACCTTTTCAAAACTGATGCTCAGGTCCATGTCGTGACATCACTCTATCAAAACATACTTTTTGAAAATGTAAAACAATATAAAATGGGGTTATATCAATATCAGACGATCATTTGAAGAATATTGTATGGTTTCTCCCCATTGTCCCTATCCTCAGGCAGATATAATACAAGTTTTGTCACTGAGGTTTTTGTACAGCCTAATTTCACGGTGTATCCCACCCCATATCACAGTGATATACCCCAGCACAAAAACACCTCCTTCACATCTCCATAGAGATTCCATATGACTGTCTGCTCTCAGTCAGGTATAAGAAACATAAAACCATGGCTAAAACTATACATAGTAGCTTTACTACAGATTCTTACGGTATTATATTCTCTATGAGTTGGTGGATTAATCTTCAATGTTTGTTATTATTGTTTGTGACTAAAGGTGTATCCATTGTCAGTTTGTGACAGTTGTTTGCAAATGTATGGATTTATGTCACAGTATAAAATCCAATATCATGGCTATGGCCAAATCATGTTTATGGTGAGGTTTCATTAGGTTTACATTGGTACCATTGTCGTGGAGGGTGTTTATTTGACCTGTTCAGTGTTGATGTGTCCATACAGGAGCAAAGGGGTTTTTGTACGGCGTAATATCACTACACACCATAACAAAAACCTCCCACCAGTACCACACACCTCCTCTATGAGGATAGCAACACATTCAGATGGTTGTGGATAGGTAATAACACACATATCTACTATTTCTTCAAATATTTTTGAATATTTTAAAATATTATATATTATAACTAAATCCTGCAGGTACAATGCTTTATAACTGTTAAAAACATGTATGAGACTTTTTATTAATAAGCATTATGATATTTTCATTTTCAACTCACTCAAAATAATTTAGTCAGAATTAGTATGAATGGTATAACCTTTATTAATATTTGTTACAAAGTCAGCATCATTATGAATGATTTAACAATTACTAGTTGTTATTTAGTCAGCATCATTATAAATGGTTTAATATTTAATAATGTATATTTAGTCGGCATCATTATGAATGGTTTAACATTTAATAGTTGTTATTTAGTCAGCATCATTATGAATGGTTTAACCTTATAATAGTTGTTATTTAGTCAGAATCATTATGAATGGTTTAACCTTTAATAGTTATTATTCAGTCAGCATCATTATGAATGGTTTAACCTTTAATAGTTATTATTCAGTCAGCATCATTATGAATGGTTTAACCTTATAATAGTTGTTATTTAGTCAGAATCATTATGAATGGATTAACCTTTCTGTTTAATACTAAGTGCTCCAGCACCTTTGGTGCATTTGGATGTTCATCATCTTTTTCACTAAAATAACAAAGAAAAAACTTAGTATCACTTAATTTAAAAATCTGCTTATAACATGCTTCACACCACTGTGTGTAATTATATCTGACACAGTAATAGACAGTTGTGTCTTCAGTTTGAATTCTCTGCCCTTCTAAAGTGACTATGTTGTTGGAACCATCTTTGGAGATGCTGAACCTGCTTTTCAAAGAATCCTTGCAATTTCCATCTGAACATTCCATAGCTTTATCTACAGGATGTCTAATCCAGTCTGTGGTATAGCTATCATCACTGATAGAATACCCAGAGACCTTACAGGTGATGCTCAAAGATTCTCTGGGATTTACAACCATTGAGCTTGGCTGCTGAGTTCTGGGTCAACAATACCTTGCACACCTGTCGGGGGGAAAATCTGGATATTTGAAAATGGTCTAACATTAGGTACATGATACATTTATACAGTTTGATTATGTTATTGTAAAATGTATTTAAAAAATAAACAGGAGGCAGCTTCCAGCAGCAGCAGGAGAAATGCAGGGAACATGGTTTGTGAGGAAGCTGAACTGATGGGAATAATACTTATTTACTCCAACTGAGTGAAAGAGAAACAGACTCTTCTTTAATACAAAGAGGGGAATTGATTTGCATCAAAGTCAGGGATTTAGGATTAAAGGAGAAGTACAGTAAAATTACTAGAATCACAGTGACATGTTGAGTAGAACAAGTATGTATCATAATACTATTAATAATAATACAATTATCTATTATGGGATCCATTGACTTGCATTATGAATGGTTCTGTTCTGCTCATTGCTTACAGTATGTTATTATAATCGTTATCATTGATGCTTTGGAGAACTGCACAAAAGGCACAGATGGTGAGAATCTAACTATTGGTGTCCCCAAAGATACAGTATATGCTTGACCCATTACTCTTTTTAGATAACAGTAAAAGTCTGCTATCAGTAATTAAAACTCTTAATTGGATTAGACTGCTATATAGGTGAATATAAATAAGCTGTCATCAAGATGATGTTTACTGACTAAAATGGCCAGAGGAGTGGATTAAGCTGCATTGAGCTTGATAAGGAATGGTATGCTTTGAATAAACTTGGAATTTATGCTGGATCCTTATTTTGTCTGTCTCACATCGCATTTGACTCTGTTTTGATTTGATTTGATTTGCTAGTGAGAGAAGTGCTTGATCAGTTTTTGTACAGGGCTGCAGCCTCCTGTGTCACTGTGTCTCTGGCACAATAATAAACAGCAGAGACTGTTCATCTGGAGATACACCTGTTTCATGCTATTGTCTCTGGAGATGGTGTACTGACCCCAAACAGACTGGGGGTAGCAAGTGCCACTGCTGTCACGGGTAATAGTTGCAACCCACTCCAGTCCTTTCCCAGGAGTATGTCTGATCCAAGCCATCCAGTAGCTATTCATGTCCAAACCAAAGGCTGTGCAGGTCAGTTTGTGTGGTTCCCAGGCTTTTTAACAACTGGTCCAGACTCAGTCAGTGTCTGACCCTGAACACCTGTGGAAACTAAGTAACAAATCCCTGGACTCAAAACCTCTGTGATTATTCTTTATCAAACAATAAACGGTCTAAAAGTGTTCACCTGTCAAGCCTATTGTCATCAGTAGAACCACAATAGTAAACATCATGATGAACTATTAGTAGTTATGGTGTGTATCTGTTCCTCAGTCTAGTCAGAGCTTCAGTTCCTCTCCTCCACTCTGCAGTGAGATAAGCAGTGATTTTAGAGGTCAGAGTTTTGCATTGACTCCTCCTCACAGGGAAGATCACACAGAGATTAAATAGAGAATTCAGAGATGGGGAACAGGTTCATATGTTCTGAATAATTTGTTAAATACTTGTTCATGTGACAACAAGAAAGCTTGACCAGACTGGGCAAGAGATCGTTTGATTGTGTAGTTTGAATGTTAGAGACTGGATTATTTTATTGCGTAGTGCTTTGTGATATTGTTGTATTCTTTACAGTAATGATACTCAGTATTATTCTAGTGTGACACAAAGAGAGGAAGTAGTACACCACCTAGCCGAGTTGTTAGGAGGGTTTTGTACAGCTGCTTCCCCAGCTCCAGTCAATGTGTCTGTCGAGCACAATAATAAACAGCTGAGAACTGTGTGCTTGTAGAGACATCCTCAGTCAGGGTGAACTGTCCTTTCAGTGAGTCTGCATAGATAACATCTGTGCCTGAACCAGTGTTCATTTCCCAATCTGCTCCAGTACTTTCACTAGTTTCTGCCAGTGAATGTCATAGCTAGTTATTGAATAACCAGAGATTGTACAGGACACTTTAACAAAGTGTCCAGGTATTTTCATCTGAGAAGAAGTTTGATCCAGTCTTATAGCACAACAAACACCTGCAAAACATAAACTTTGACACTCAGTTGAAGATGTGGTATTTACATTGATTAAGAGTTTAACCATGATACTCAGAAATTCTTCAGTCACCATGTAATGCTTTACTTACAAGCATATGGACATCACCATGACAACTAAACTCCAGACAGTCATCAGTTCCATTGTTCAGTATTAATTAGCACAGAACTTGTAATGTTAGTCCAAGCTGCCTATAATGAAAAGTCCAGATCTGAGTGTCTGATTATAAAGGGATGAATGGGAGGGAGACTGCATAGACCGTCCTCTAGAGGCTTAAATACAGACTGACAGGGAGAGATCTTCTGTACTATTCCATAGCACTTATTCTCTCCTCCATGTACTTCATTCTACACTCTGTAGTTCAGATTTTGCTAATGAGACGTGTTGACTATATATAATGGCTTTAGTATGATGTGTTGACTATATATAATGGATTTAGTATGATGTGTTGACTATATATAATGGCTTTAGTATGATGTGTTGACTATGTATAATGGATTTAGTATGATGCGTTGACTATATATAATGGCTTTAGTA